GGGGGTTGGACTCGATGATCACTGGAGGTCCCTTCCAACCCCTACAATTCTGTGATTCTGCTGAAGAGTAGCTTTCAGTAAGTCCAGTTTAACAAAAGATAATGCTGGTTTTCCACCACAGCAGCTTTTCAACTAACTGTGGAAAACTGTGGTAAATCTAAGCAATTCTACAGCTGGCAATGCTAAATCTTCCAGCCCAGTGGACCGAATACTGAAGGTGCAGGATTACAGGAGTGACAGCAAGTCAAAGTGTCACATTACCTGTACAGATTAACAAATTGCTTCCCTAGTGAAAGAGCTCCAGAGTGCAAGTCCAAAATTGATGCCTGGGAAAGGAAAAAAAAAAAAAAGAGTCTGAGAAGGTTTTATTATTTAACAAACTTTAATAATCATCTTGTTGGCTTTCACTTGCCATACCCTCCCAAGTCAAAGTATTAGTTTCTAGTTTCGCATCCAAAATATTAATGCTTATTTTACAACTGCAAGCCTCCTCCAGTTTGTTCTATAAATGACCATAAGATTAAGGCACCATATGGATAAAGCACAGAGATCCAAATCCAGCATACAGAATTGACAGAGCCTTCCTCCCCAGGGTGAGACACTGTGTTCCTGGACCAGTCTGAAAGACATTCCCTTTTCACATTTTCCAATATTTATTAAGTGCTCAAATAGCAACACTAATATTTAACCTGCCCAACATTTGTTATTAAGATTTCTTCACCATGTGTTGCTGTGTACTTCTTGTATTTAAAACAGAAAAGTTTGCTTTAAAGAACAATTACAATTCTAAGGTTTGCCAGAGCCACTCTGTTATTCCAATTTCTAAACTGCTGTAAACTGTAAGAAAAAACTAAAGAGTGAAAAGATCTTACATCTGGAAATAAATAAATCAATCCATTTCTCCGTTTGACTCAAGCCAAATGCTACTGTTGAGCTCCAGACCAATTTAAAAAGGTCAGTATTCACATTTGCTATGATAGAAAGCTAGTTCTATATTTTCCTAAACTGAATGAAGAACACTCTTGTACATCCCTTGCTGTCCAGAAAATACATGTTTTTTCCCCATAATTTAAATAGCAATTAAAAATATGCTCACTTAAAAGCAGCATTCCTTCCTTCACTGAAATCATCAAGCAGCAGCAGTGGATTAGCCTGACTGCCACCAACATTAATACGACATCTCTGAGGTACAATATCCTGGAAAAAGCATTCTCATCTTGGAACCTGGCATTTCCTGATGCACCACGTACCATCCACAGGTGAGCTGAGTGATAACTCCCATCTTACCAGCAGGATTTCTGGGCATAGCTGGGACAGAAACCACTTTTTATTTTAACCAAATTAAAGACAGGCTGGTGAATGCATTGCAGCACAGTGACACAGAGCTGCAGTGGCAGCCAGCAGTACGGTTTCAAACACCCCCTACACCCCAAGTCTCAGCACACTTCTCTCTCTCCTCTGGATCACATTTGGGAGGACACCCATGCCAATCCAAACAAGAGAAAAATCACTGGAGGCTCAACTGCTTTCAGCTTCAGAGCCGAGATGGGAGCTCCACTAAAGTCTCTTTTTAAATAAAGAGGTAACAAACTTACTTCAGCACATCCACCCAAATTTATTCCCAAACTTTTAAGAATATATAAAGTAACAGGCTACTGAAACAGACATGAGTTTTTCAGACTTCTGCTTCTCACAGAAGTTCTTTAAAGACTGCAGAGGACTGTTAGAAACAAGTCACCTTTCTGCAAGAGCTGCTCTAGGATGAGCACTAGCTTTACTCAGGCTTCAGAAGTAACATATTTTCATTTCATTGGTTTCTGGTTCTGTACAATAATCTAAGTTACAGCTGGAACAAGCAAAACTGCTTCCTTGTAGCTTCAAAAATACGCTTGTAGCCATGCCAAGGTAGATTATAAGGAGAAGTAGCAGGACGTATCTGAAACATAAGTTTAATTTAAGAACAAATTGCTTTCCAAATACTTCCAGCACATGTTCCACACACTGCAGATGATCACAGCTATGTGGTAGAGACCAAAACAGTCAAGTGGATCAATACAAGAAGTACAGGTACATGCTCCCAAGAAGTGGTGACATTCATAGCTGAGAAGGCAATAACCACAATGCAAAGTCAGACAAAGAAGACTGAAAACAATAAGAGAATATTCCTCAGGGTTGTTTCAAACAGGAGGAAAAAATAACTGAAAGACAGAGGCAAGGACTTGATTACAAACACAGAGCAATTTCTTTAATAGCTAACTGGAAAAGAAGCTGAAACATTTAATTTAGCCTCTGCCATTCCAGAGCATCCAATATTTTCAGTAGCATTTTTAATACTCAGAAGAACACCACTTAGAGGACGGTGTCAACACCACTGCTTACAGTTCAGCTGGCTGACCAAGTTTCATTAGTCTGTACTTCAGATCAATGCTCCCAGGCAGAAAGCTCTGCAAAGTTCATCTAAAGATGGCAGGAGCAATGCAAACATATCCACATGTACTCACGATTGACAGCTCACTAGATGATCCTGGAGGTCTTTCCCAAACTTAATGATTCTATGATATGATCTATTCATGAGATACGGTTTAACAGAAGAAATTGAACTTTCTTGTACAAACTGACAGCTGTCTCAAAGTGCCTGCTGGTAGCTAGGCAAGAAAGAAGGAAACTATGGGGTCTGACGTAGCAGATGTATGAGATAAGATAAATACCATGCAGAGGCTTTATCTTCTCCCCAGAAAAAAAATCAGGACAGCATTTTAAGGACTCTAGAATTTGGTAAGAAGGGCTGAAAGCAGGAATGATATTACCTGCAGAAATACCATACTGTGCATGGGTGCGTGTGCCCCCATCAGAAACCCTTGTTTGGCATCATAGCCACACACTGTTTGCTTCTTTCAGTCATGAGAAGCACAGTTTTCCCTGCAAGAAGGAGGTTTAGGAAGCTACTAACGTCAATTTGCAGCAGCATAGGAAACGGAGCACCTCAGCTGACTGCACCAGGGGTTTCTTTTCCCTGGCTTCAAAGTGCCAATAGCTTTGATAATAAATGAGTCAAGTTTCATTTATGCTGGAGAGATGTTCTGACGGCAGCACCTCCAAAGATTTGAGTGAGTCAAACTGGTAACGTAAGCAGGGATCACATGCAAGAAAATATTGGGTAGAGAAAAAAGAAAGGCCATTAGCTTTATTAAGATGGGGAAAAAAAAGTTGAAAAACACCAGGAGAACTAGCAGAAATTGCATTCTAGAAAGAACACAGTAGAAAAAAAGCTATTTTGCAGAGACGTACAAGGGAAAGCAGGACAGTGGTGCAGAAGGTGCCTCTGTTTAGATTCTGCTGGAAGTCAGACCAGAAAATTACACGTCCTCTTCTAGCTTCAGTGTGTGCATGCACATGAATGGGCATGTGGGCAAATACACTGATCTAGGAGCAGTTATAACAGAATATGGGGCAGAAAGTTCAGCACAGCAACTGGGGTTTGACTCCTGGGACACTTCAGTAATTCAGTGTCAGACAGAATCTTCTCAAAACAAAAGTATGGAGAAGGACACAAGCTTCTGTGTGAACCTTCAGTCCCCCAGGGAAGCAGAAAGGACTGCAAACAGGGAGAGAACTGACAGAGTTACAAGTTTAGCTCTTTAAATTATTAACTTACAGCCACACAAACAAATCTACTTCTGTGAACTCAAAATACAAATATGACAAGCAAAGATGCTATTTAAAATAGGAGTAAATCAGAATGAAAATAGTCTGCCCCACAGCAGGAATTTGAAGCTTGGAAATATGGAGATAAAGTTGACTAAAGAAAGAATTAAAAAGAATCAAAGAGAAGAAGAATTATTGAAAGAATTTTTAAGGAAAAATTTAGTCTCAGAACAATGAACATAATTGGATGGACTTTGAAGTCTCAGACATGTAAAGCAAAGCGGCAGATCTCAGTCAACAGACTTGCAGCTCATAAGGCAGAGTAAGGTGGCCAGATGGAATAAGAGCTGAAGCATTTTGTATGCTATGTAGACCAGAGGTTGGAAAAGAGGACAACAAGCTTCAGTGAAGAAAGAAGTTTTATCTACACATCATCAGCACAAAGCAGTCATTATTTAATGAGATCTGGGAGCCAAGATTGCAATATCAGGAGCAGATTCACATCAGGAATCCAAGAAAGAAAAAAATGCAGAATGGAAAAAAAAACAACAAAAAAAGCAAAGGCTAAGAAAATTTAGGTGAAGGACTACATTCAAAGGGCTGTCCTGAACATTATCCTCTAGAAATGCTTTTCAGCTCATCTCTTTAGCATCTTTCAGTGCCTATCCACAGTTCTGGGTGAGGTTTCAAAGCAACTTCTTTTGCAAAAGCTCCTTTTGCACCTTTCCCTAAGGAGTCACAGCGTGCAACAGCTTTCTCACATTCACACACTGCAAGGAACCTGAGAGGATCACAGCCTACAGAGTTCTGAGACCAACAAAATTTTATTACCAAAGAGTCATTTTCCCCCATTTCTCCCCCCCTTTAAAAGCTCCCAAAATGTTTTTTGCAGATCTTCTTAAGCAGTCCCAAGGACAATTTTAAAAAGTCTTTTTTTTTTGTTTTTCCCTTCCATCACAACTTTTCTCCTTTTCTTCCAACAAATGTCCCAATTCAGCAGAGGCCCAAAGAAGTGCTTATGTTTACAAATACTCAAGAAACAATATCTGTTCATACACAAAAACAAACTGAGAACAGAGGGAAAAAACGCAGAGAAAAAGGTGAGGTTTTTTCCATATTTAAAGAACATAATTCAGAGTTCTGCTGAAGACATTACATGAAGTTTCCACAAAAATCAGCCTGTATGTGATAGCTGTGAACCACTGTGATTTGGTTTCTCAAAAAGGACAGAAATCAAACTTGTGTATTCTGCTTTAGCAGCTGGTTCCAGCTGCAGAAAACTAAACCAGACCAAGAGAGGCACTAGAAATATTAACTTAATAGGAAATGTGTCAGCTGTACTGGATAAGTCAATTACAGTACTAGCAAAAGCATTAATAGGATAGAAAATAAATTCCCAGACAATTTCCCCAAATCTGTTATCTTCTCTTTTTAATCTTAAAGCTCTCCTTGGAAGTAAGAGAATGTAAAAATTAAGAGGACGCTGCTCACCCCTCCATCTGATCCTCCCAAGGACAGTCCCCTCTCTGCTATTCTGCAGGCAAAACAACAACCTCAGATGAGAACTGAAGGCTTGATTACTTTGTCCTTTAATGTCATTATATAAAACACACAGCTTTCCAGTAAGAGTTATTTACTGCATCAAATACAACCCAGTTAAGTAAAAAAGAGAAGCTACCTTTTATTTGAAACCCTGAATTATGCACTTAGTCATGAAAATAAAGTATCTACATGTTGCAGAACATTTCTGGACAGGAACAGCCCTTACATACAAGACCATAAGCACCTTCACTAAAAAAAACCCACAACCCTGGCTTTCAGATTCAGTCTGGCCAAAATTAAACAAAACAAGCAAATAGAAAAACCACCACAGATTTTCTAATTACAGACTTTGACAGTCCCATGCTATTTGATTAAAATTGATCACTGCGCTCATAGAGAACTACAGGGTCAGCACCAAGTCGTAGCCACCCAGAAAGCAACTCGTCTGAAAGGAGATTTACGTTTGGTTTTATTTCTGAAGGTAAACTGGAACAACAGAACAAAATTGTTCATCATTTATTTAGTGCAGAGAATTCTGTTTTCTTTTCCCTACAACCCATATGCCCACATAGCTACGCAGACTCTGTATCAAAAAGCCTCCACTACAACAGAAGTGCAAAGTAGCTTTTAATAAGATACGCACAAGTTTAATGCATTAATCAGTTTAAATCACCTCCCTTCAGCTTGCAAGCTTTCCATTACACCTGAACTGGGGCTCACTGTCAGTATGGCAGATAGAAATTTAAGGAGAATTACCTACGGATTCTTTCCGCTTCCTCCCTGGTGATCACAGCATCACTCACACCTCTTCCACACCTCCTGGGAGTGCACCCTGAAACACAAAAGGAAAGACCACCTTCCCAAAAAGCTTCCAACCAAATCCCCATGATGTCCTCCTACTCCCTTTTCAGATCCACAAGAGTCAAAAGTTACATCACGAGCCAAAGAAGATGCCCCTTGGTTAGTCAGGCTGTGCTGGAGACATCTGTACATACACACATGTGAAAAGACAGATGGGAAGAAGGGCAAAATGTCTGCATCTAAGTGCAGCAGTACAAGTGTTCTTAATTATATAACTGGTCTCAGGAAGATGATCTTCAGTGATTTCCCCTTACCTGCTCTGTTCTAGCCTTCAGACAGGCAGGGCGAGAGCCAGGGAGTTCAGAAGAGCCACAAGGATCCCTTCATCTCAGGCTAACAGTTCAAAATCGGGCAGCATTTCTAGCAACTGGAACCACTTAATAGCAAATACCTACAGAGTTCTTCTTCACAGTGTAAGCAAGCATTCAGATAATGGACAGGGATACACACCACTCTCAAAAGGGAGAGTCAAGAGGGCAAATCACATTCTGAATGTGATTACTCTACAAACAGACCTCAAAGGACAATTTTTTATAATGGATCTTGCATTAAAAGGTATCATATCCAAAAGCATTAGGACCTACAATAAAAGAATTCACTTAAAATTCACTACAGAACGACCTGGCATTTAATATTAAAAGCTCACAGAAAAGGATCAGCAGTAAGAGGAGTGAAGAATATATGAAATTTCTTTTAAAACTACAAGTCTGATGCACAACAGGCTTTGGGCAAGAACAAGAAATAAAATCAGTTCTGAGTCAATACAGACCTTGGGATGCTGCATTAGACATTTTCCTGGGGAAACTCCATTTACAGATGTAAAGTTATGGAAGAATGTGAATGAAGCCATTTTCTGACATTTGCCAACACACTTTTCTGTTGCTGAGCTCCTCTTCAGAGATTATTTGTTCCTCGGAACAAAGGAGAGGGTACAAAGCACTGCTGCAAGAGGAAAAGAATTGCATTCATCCGTGCAAGGCAGAAGTGTCAGTCTGCTCTGATCAAAAGCATCTGATGATAACAGTGAGCACAGTGACAAAAAGAAATCTTGCCACAGTACAAGTGCTCTGCAGGGCTGCACACTGGCATACTGGACGTGCCTTGGCTGCTTCAACACTGCAAAACCCTGCAACTACAGCAGCACCTTGAGAAGAAAGAGAAGCCACGAGGAGATGTGGGTGCAAAACCTGAGGCTGACAACACGTACCAACTGCACACTTGAAAAAGTCACTTATTGGATGTGTATTTAAACTGGAGGCACCAAGGGCATTCCGAGCAAACACCTGAGAACCCAACTATTCTGAAAAGCAATTTTTCCTTCTAAACCACTGGGGTAAAAATGTAACCCACTTGGTTTCCTACCTGGATTTGCCTGCTGCAACCCAAACAATTCTGCCTGTTTTCTGACTACCAGCAACAACTCACTGAGATCAGCTCAAGAGTCAAATTCCAGGAGGCACATGCTGAATTATTTGAAGATGATCTACGAAAGCAGCAGGTAAAAATGTTACGAGGTTACAGTGTGAACCACCAGTACTGCAAGGCCAGCACAGAACCCAACATTATAACAAAAATGAACCAGAACCCCAAGCTCACTTTTCTCCTTTTGACACTGTGAACAGCAGCAGAATCAAAACACACCATTCTTCAGAAACAGAAGTGTGGAGGAAAAAAAAAAACACAGAACACTTAAAAATGCAAAAATTCAATCAGCAACCTGAAGGTGCTTCATGAATTTGAAAACAGCACTTTGCAACACAGCCCCAGAAGCATAGAATTCAACTGACAAGGGCTTTCCAGGTGGAAAAGTTGTGCTAAGTTATGAATTAGAGGGGGGGGAAGAGAGGGTGAAGTCTATGCCGTGTTTGAGGAGAACTGTAATTATCCCCTCCCTCTGCAGTCAGAAAAGCAGGGCCACGTTCTCATGGAAATCCTGAGCTTTTTCAGTCTCTCAATCCCAGGCACTGACCGTTTGCCAATTAAACACTGCAAGCACTGGAAATGCTATGTTCCTTTGTAGCATATAACCTAGCAGTCATGAATGGGAAAAAGTAGCAGCCAGTAAACAATGCCAACTATTTCTCATCCCTCCTAAAGCTCATAAAGCTCCATCGCATGCGTAGGTTAAAAATTGGCTCTTCACTTTTGAACGCCAGCCTGAAAAGCATCTCAGAAGCTGAATGATGAGACATCTGTGCCTCCACGCTAGCAAACACTCATCATAAGAGCAGGACAAATGGCTGAGGGAGAAACAGCTTCAATTCAACGCTCACAGATGTACAGAAACAGCCAAAAAAGGAACGAATTTAGGCTGCCAGAACTGAAAACACTTATGAGACATTTCATTAAGAACCACAAGATTCATTCACCAAAGACATGCAGAATAATTACCACCAGCCACAAATCACACCCCACATATTGCACACCTTATCTAACACTCTATGGGTATAAAGATGTCAACAAATTCATAAGGCACAAGTTCAGAAAGCTGCAGTACACTTATTATTATTCTGCTACAAAACAGGATTAAAAAAGACTGAGATAACAGACTGACACAAAAATGAGATTCTAAGACACTCAGGAGAAAGCTGAGCATAGAAAACCAATAAAGTTGTCTTGACAGATAGAGACAAAAGAGCAGAATGACCTTCCTTGTGCCACTGAAAAGGACTCTTTAATGCACGAGTGGCAAAGAAAACTCTTAGAGATAAGGGAAAGCATGTGTTCAAGGAGAGATGTGGCAAAAAGGAAATTCAAAGGAGAAATTCAATGCTCCACAGCAACTCATCTAAACAGAACCTTCCTTGCATGACTCCTCAGAAAGGACACTAGAAAGACTTGCTTTTTCAGAAGAGATTTGTGCTCTAAAATTCTGGCTGCAAACAACAGCGCAGGACTTACCCTTCTGGAAAGGCTGGTACTGGAGTCAGGATTTAGCAAAGCTAGCTTTAGAGAGGATGAGGGTTACGTTGTGTAGCAATTGGATGTATCAATACAATGGGAAAGGTGTGACAACAGAGACGTGATGATAGCAGGATTGACATGACAGAGAGGTGCTATAAAGGAAGGGAAGAAGATTGCTCACCTGTATCAGAAGATTCTGGGTTTGCAGGGGAAAGCTTCACTAAGGAGGGATCTCCAAAAAGAGAACCTTCCCAGCTAGGGGTCAGCCCTCAAATGAGGTCTAAGAGAGGTGCAGCCAGGCTGCTCCCCTTCCACCTGCACGTGTTAACTGCCTTCACCTGTGCTCCCAGGGCTGACTGGGTCTTTTCCACAAGTGCTCAATCAGTGGTTCAGGCTGTGGCTCAGCAGTTCCCATGCATATTGCTAAGCTAGGAAAACTAGCAAAGGTAATGCTAGAAGCAGGAGGTATTCTGAAAGAAACAGCTGAAGCTTTTCCAACCTGAGAAGATAAACAAAAACAGAGTCTAGCATGAAATCAGACAGGTTCCAGAAGCAAGGTATGAACACTGGATGCAAACCGTGAAAGGACTAGAACCACCTGTGTTGATGAAAACAATTTCAGCATTAAGAAATGTGTCATCTTTGTCTAAGAAACCACTGCACGTGGGAGCACTAAAGCAGTAAGAGCATATTTCCAAAATCTGCACTCATGAGAATATAGGCTAGGATTACAGAGTACCCAATAGCTTCCACAAAGCTGTGCCTAGCAAAAACAAATCACTTATCTAATAAGCTACTCAGCTTTGAATGCAGGAGTTGTATTTTTCCAATCAGAGTAAAGGAGAAATGTACACAACACTGAAAAACCAGAAATACTCCCTAATCAGCACACAGAAAATAGAAAGTAACAGGACCCAGGGTCTAGGTGCCTATATCCCAGCTTTGCCTATTCTTGAAAGAGGTTCATTGCCAAGACAGGGATGACTCCTGAGAGAAAAGAGATGGGCAAGATGATATTGTCATGATAATACCAGAAATCTCAGTGTTGGACCCACTATTAAAACTGCTTTCCATATCCACTGACCTCACCTCTGGGAAAGGATCTCAGAGCCTCAGCAGTGGCAGAAGCTTTGAACCCTGACAGAGTATGCCAGCACACACAGGACTATGCACAGATTCATCAGACACGCTGAAAGCCACAGCAGTTTTAAGTAGTTAACCATATCTCAAGAGAGCAGAAATAGTGAAGATCTGGCTGCAAGGATCAGACTCTGCTCACAGCATGCCCCATCTTCTGCAAACATCATCAACTTAGTACTTGTAGCACATTTTATAGCTGTATGAAGCAAGTTTTCTGCTGTGCAGTACTATGGAAATAAGGCTCTGTGACACCAACCACTGTTATCTATCGAAGCAAAACCAGATGCTCTGTTGGACTGGATTGAGGGGGAGCAGGTGCATAAGTAAGAAGCTCATCTGAACTGTGGACAGACCAAAGGGTAATAGCAGCATGCCTCCTGCCACAGCACCAGCAGCTGTGGATGCAACGCCAGAGTAAAGACGGAATAAAAGCTCTTCAGTGATAAAAAGCTGTTTCCAACAAAGCGATTAAAGCTGAGGAGCCGAATGCAGTTCGGCAGAGAGCAGCAGACTGCGCGGTTGCAGCCACCCCAAGCTCCCAGTAACGCGTGCAGCAGGAGCGCTGCGGACGGCTCACGGGCGCCCTCTGGCGGGCATTGAGCGAATGCAAATACACTGAATACAAACTCATCCAAGGCGACTCCCCCTCGTGCCTCCAGCACGTTCCTGGGTTTGATGCCGACCACATCAGCCATTTAATACGCGGTCAAGAGAGGGCACGCTTGCTCCTCCCACACTGCAAGAACACAGAACGCATCCGCTCATTCCTCAGCTGAGATACCTTTAATGTTCCTTCTCCATGCTGTTGGGGCTGCCAAGACCACAAGTCTTCAGCTCAGAACATTCCTCTAACAAACCAGAAATTGGGAAAATACTGTTTTGGTGAGCTTTCTTGTTTGTTTTTTGATAAACCAAAGCCCTGGTAGCAGAATGCCGATAGATTCAACCCCAGTTCAGAGTTGAAGAACCAACCTGCAGCAACACTGGCTGCATAGATTTCTCTGGCCTTGAAACAGCAGAAGAACAGCCAGCAGCCATTCTTCCTTACTGCAGGAAGTTAAAACTGAACACATGCATTCTCATGCTCAGAATCAAAAAGTCCTCCTACTGAGGACGCTCTCTTGTGAGTAAGTTCCTGAGGTGCTTTATTTGGCTTCAAGTACATCTACTGTGATGAATTCTCCAAAGCCCTACCACATGAACACTGGGAAGGCCTTTTTTGACTGCAGGCTGTGCGTCACCTTCTGTCTCGTTACCAGTTTTTTGCCCAACACCACCAGGACCAGGCAGTTATCCCCTCCATCTCCCATCCTTGGGGCAGTACAACCAAGCTGCAAGCTTATGGCCGCTTCCCCCCAAACCAGTGCTGGAAGAGCTGCTCTGCTCCAAGCTATCCCCCAGTAAGCTGCAGTAAGCTTAGTAAGCTTTTGTCAGCCACATAACAAACCAGATAAGGGAATGGATTTGTCTAACAGCTAAAGGGGAACCAGATTTGGATAACAGCTTTCAAGAAGAGGGTGGCTGTAGCATCAAGGAATACAGTTTAGTAGGTATGGTGGGGCAGGTCAATGGTTGGACCGGATGCTCTTAGAGGTCATTTCCAACCTAAATGATTCTGTGATTCAAAAAAATCAGGAAATAAAGGTTTCTTTTTCCTCAGCACGGCACAGTTCATCACTCACACTCAACACACAGCCAGGCTGAAACAAGAGCTGAGCTGCTTTTTTACAGGAGGAGCACTTTGAAGAAGAGACATCTCCCGAGAAGAAGCCTCTTCCTGCTCGGGAGTAGCACAAAGTTTACTCCGCTCCCCCTGAGCCTCAGCAGAGCGTTATGTGAGGAGCACGGGGAGCGGCCCCAGCGCTCCGCCTCCCTGCAGGAGCGGGGATCCCCAAATACCTTCAAACCTCCGGTAGCCGTCGTAGTCCCCGGAGCACGGCACCTCCACGAACTTGTCGAGCAGCGTCTCCCCTCGCCCGGCCAACACCTCGGCGACGCCGTCCTCAGTGCTCCAGGAGCTCCACGCCAGGAAGGCGCCGGCGGCCGCGACGAGAGCGGCGGAGACGAAGCACGCGGCCCACAGCCGCCCGCCGCGCGCATCCCGCGGACTCGCGTTCCTCCGTGCGCTGCGGGGAGCGGCACGGACGTTACCGCACGGCCGCCATTCGCTCCCTCGCCGCCCCTCCTCCCGCCCGCCCCGTACCTGCCCTGCCGCCGCCGCTCCCCGCCGCCCGTCCGCCGCCGCGCCGCCACGGCCGCCATCGCCGCGAAGCGATGCTCTCGACGCGCCGCGCTCGGACTGCCGGGGCGGAGCGAGGGGAGGAGCGAGAGTGGCCGGAGCCGTCGAACGAGATGCGGCGGCGCCTGGTGCACCTGGACCTGAAGGGCGCTCCGCCCCGCGCCGCGTACCTGGCCGAGGTGAGGGGAGAGGGGAGAGGGGAGAGGGGAGAGGGCGGCGCTCGGCCCGGCCCGCACCCCCCGCTCGCCCGCCACCGCCCCCCCCTCCCCCTCCCCCTCAGGTGCTGCCGCTGCTCCGCGCGATGGGCGCCACCGGGTTGCTGCTGGAGTACGAGGACGCGTTTCCCTACGCGGCGCCGCTGGAGGCGCTGAGCGCGCCGCACGCCTACAGGTAACGGCGGGGAGGGGCGGCGGGCTCGGCGCTCGGCGCGGCTCTCAGCGCGTCCTTCCGCAGCCGCACGGAGCTGAGGCAGCTGCTGGGCCACGCCGCGGAGCTGGGGCTGGAGGTGGTGCCGCTGGTGCAAAGCTTCGGGCACATGGAGGTGAGCGGCCCCCGACCCGCCCCCCCGCTGGGGCTGCGCACGGGTCCGTCCCGTCGCGGGTCCCCGTCCCATCGCCGCGCCCCGTCCCGCCGCAGTTCGCGCTGAAGCACAAGGAATTCGCGCATCTCCGTGAGGTGAAGCTGTTCCCCAACGCCCTAAACCCGCACAAGGAGGAGTCGCGGGTGCTGGTCAGAGCCATGATCGACCGCGTCATGGAGCTGCACCGGGACCTGAGGTGGTTCCACATCGGCTGCGATGAGGTGAGGCGCGGGCCGGGTGCTGCCGTGACAGCGGAGCGTATCCATCTTGATGAGCCCAGATACGCATCTTACGTAGGACTGACTGTGCCGGGCCAACCTTTGGACGTGCTCCCACGTCACTTATGGATTTGTGTAGAAATAATGATCTCCTTCCACGAGAGGAATCTCACTTCATTCAGTTCTGGACCATATGGTTGCTAGTTTTCTTTAACTAAGACTGGCGAGAGCAGCTCACAAGACAAACCTTCCAAAGACAAATACAGTATGCCTTAATGTATAACCAGTGAATGTACAGATGTTATAATTCCGAAATATACCAGAGAGTTTGGCTAAGCAGTAAGCAGTTTTATTATACTGAAAGAGAATAGATAGTACGCTTACCCATATCCTGGGCTCACCATGAAACTCCAAAGGAGGGGATCTCCAGAAAAGATTCTTCCCCCCTGGTAGTCAGCTCTTAAATGGGTCTAGGTGCCTTCACTTGTGCTCCCATGGCTGATTCCTTGCTCGTCTCAGGTGGTCAAGCAGAGGTTCAGGCTGTGATTCAACAGTTCCCATGCACTTAATTATTCCTGAGATACTTTAATTCTTCTAGAAAACTTCACAGAATCACCACTGTTGGAAAAGACCTTCAAGATCATCCAGTCCAACCATCCACCTATCACCAATAGTTCTCACTAAACCGTGTCCCTCACTAAATCCAAACGTTCCTTGAACACCTCGAGGGTCGGTGACTCCACCACCTTCCTGGGCAGCCCTTCTGTGATGTGTTTAGTCAGAGCCAGATCCTGCAGGTTGATACTCACAATGTCTTCAGCACCAAAAAGTACTTTGAAATACTTCTGCTCAGTGTGTTACGTTTGTGCCGTAGTTTGTGAATACTGTATGATTGCGTGATGCTGTATCAAATTTGTTCCCCCTGTTCCCATACAGGAAGTCAGAATTATTTGCTTGATGTTTCAGGTCTACTACCTTGGTGAAGGAGAGGAGTCCAAGGAATGGCTGCAACAACAAGGGAACACGCCAGAGAAGCTGTGCTTATTCCATATAAAAGCAGTTGCAAGTTATATGGTTTCGTCTTATCCCACTGTGACTCCCATCGTGTGGGATGACATGCTGAGAGGGATCAGCGAGGAAACACTGGCAGGTGTGTCACCTGGGATGGGGTGAGTCATTTGGTAGCCCTCAAAAGAGTTCACGCATTCAGTTGAAACAGATCTGCTATCAGCTGAAATACAATACAGAATGATCCGAGAATAGTTGAGATGTGGTCCATTAGAGTAAGAAGTGGAGACACTTAGTCCATGGCAATGCTACAGACTTTCTTTTTGACATTGGGCGAGTCTTACAATGTACGCAGTTCAGTTTTCTATCTGGTAATAGTCATTTTGCACAGTGGTCACCATAAATTCTACTGTCTTTACCCGTTTCAAAGAAAAACTGTAGTCTTTTCCTAAATTTCTACATTTCTCACCACCTTCTAATGTTAGTTGTTACTTTGTACAGTATCTGGTTCCCATAATGCAGATTCAAGAGAAGCTCTGTGTCCTCGATGTTAAAGTTGACACAGTTAGTGAGGAACTCCAATACTGTATTGTCACAAGCCTCCTATGTTGAAAAATATGCAACTACTACTAAAATTAGAATGGTTCTAATGGAGTTTCACATTTTTCCATTTTACGTGTGTGCTCTAAACAGATTTAGACAGTATCATGAAGAGCCATACAGCTCCTCCAGCTCTGATTGACCTACTCATAGCTTTCGTGGTGGGGAATCATCCCCAAAAAACTAGAACTCCTGCAATTCCCACAAAAGCAGCACAGCATGTAGCTACGTGCAGTCTACCACCACAGCCAATAATGGACTAAGAGTAAAATGGGATGCAGTTAAAGTACTCAATTTATGCACGGTTTACTGCATCTTGTTGAGGGGTGAGAATTTCTCACATTTAAAACTACTCAGGGAGCTGATTATAAAGGGAAGCTAACCTTGCATTTTCATTATGGGCTTCTTGAAAAGATAAGTTCTGTGCAGACAATCCTTAACTTAATAGGTGATTATTTCCTTTGAATTTAGCTGACATCTTGCATGTACCATTTGCAACTCCACCAGTTCAAGCAGCCAGGTAAACTAATAGATTCATGCCCCTGACATGTTCGAAGTCCTGACAAGGCTGAAAATGCACGTGGGCATGAAGAATTCGGTGACAGGCCATAGTTTGTTCTATAGGTGCAGTAATGCATGACTGACATGTACTTCTTTCTCACCTGTAACTGTCCTTTTTCTATTACTTAAAAAAAAAAACCTCTGCTCCTTTCAGAATCTGGGGTCCCACAGCTGGTGCAGCCTATGATCTGGGACTATGCTGCAGACCTGGATGTGGAGAGCAAAGGTTTGTACTTCTCTAAGCTGCTTGGAAGAGCTCTGATACCTGATTATTTATTATCATTTTAATCTTTCTTTAAAACTTTCCAATGTGTGCCATTTTGGGAAAAACAACAAAAGTCTGATCAGTGCTAATCCTTGAAGGGGGGGAAAAAAGAAAGTGATGCGCAATTGGAGAAGATGGAGTGCAGCCCTTATTATGTGAAAATTCTTCTGAACTACTCCTTCAAGGCAGCAAACATCCTACAATGAAAGAACAGCAGCTAATTTTTTAGACAAGTGGAGATTTACCCTCCTCTTATTAAATTGTATGATGCATTTAATACACTTGTATTACCAGCAGAATCGCCCCAGCTGCTTCCATGCCAGTAGACCTCATGGCTCTCCCTCTAACAGAAACGTTCAGAGCCCAGAATTCTTGTTAACTGGAACATTGCAGACATGGCTGAAAACTGGAGAAATATGTGTCCTATAGGTATTCTTTTGTGTCTTATTTCAGTGCTTCTTATAGAGAAGTATCGTAGATGTGGCTTCTCCAAGGTGTGGTTTGCTAGCGCTTTTAAGGGCGCTACAGGAGTGAATCAGTCTCTAACACTTATTGGACACCACTTAAAAAACCACCTTCAGTGGCTGAAAGTAGCAAGCAGCATCCCTGCTGATGTGCTCCAAGGTATCGCACTGACTGGCTGGCAGAGGTAAGGCACGTCTTTTAACATGAAGCAGACTTCCACCCAAGCCTTCCTCAGATGCACAAGGAACTTGGAGATTTAGAAAGGAAGTTGGCAACGCTGGAATCTTTCCTATCAGTTACTGCTCAGCTTCACCCAACTCGAATGTCTAATTAGTGAATGTTTTCTTTTTTAGGTATGATCACTTCTCTGTTTTGTGTGAGCTTTTCCCCGTGGCAATTCCATCACTGGCTGTATGTCTGCAGGCACTAGAGAATGGTACAATGGCAACTTTATTCTCTCTGAGCTAAAGCCTAACACAGCAGTGAAATGACCTTGCCCTAAGGTTAGCACAGGCTTACTACATTTTGAGGTGGTTTCACTATTTGATCATGATTCAGATTACAAACAATAGATCTCACATCTCACCTGCAGCAGCAGAGAAGCCTCTTGGCCTGCGCATTTAAAAAGAGCCATAGTATTCCAATCATGTTGTATTATAAAATATATACAGTATATTATATATACTATATACAAAATCACCACTAAACTCATCATGTACTGAAAAAAAATTAAGAATTGCTTTTTTGGTAATTAATTTCAAACTGCTGGTACATAAGTGAGACTAATGACATTTAAATATTGTTTACATACAGAAATTAATGCATTTTCTTGAAATGCACCTAGGAAGTAAAGTGCCTTGTAAAAACTTCCTGTTGTTTCTGGCTTCTTCAGAGGCAGCTGCCAATCAAATTTTTACTTTTGTCTGCATTTCTTTTCAAAACATTAAAATACAACCTGCTTATGCTTAACTAAGACACTAAAAGTATTAAGTACTCTGAATGGAAAGCTCATAACTAAAAAGGGCTTTTTGTGGCACAAGAAGCCTTGTGAAAGATGTACTCCCTCCACCCCCCCTTTTTTTCCTTGTTCTTTTTCTATTTTAACTTACATTCATCCAAAGAGATCTGGTAAGCCAAGGCTGAGTGCTTGAGAAAAACCCTCTTTTTGAGCACTTTTGTTATGAAGGCTCCTCTGTCTCATTTCTTATGTCTTCTGCCCAGGTGGCTATTCTGAAAAGGTTAAAGAAAATGTGGAAAAGCTCCTGGGAATGTCCAATCTGGAATTAGATACTTTCATGAGGTAAAATTCCAGCTGCTGGACTCAGA